CTGGAACAATGAAACAACATGTGACACTCTTGAAACATTATCAATATAATATAGAATTAAATGGACGACAAATTTTAATGAAAAAAGAACTTTTATCTTCTCATACAACTTTTCATGATGCAGTTCAAAATGGTGAAACTCTTCTAGCTCGATATCAAAGAGAATTCTTTTCACCTATCACCGCAACTACATATGGTGTACAAATTTTTTCGAATGAATTACCTGATGGTCTATATCTATTAGCTCTTGCATGGACAGATATTGGTAGATCTGAAAGTTACGGACCAAAAAACGGCTAAACTTATTATTAATATTCGTAATCAAATATATTTAATCACTTTTTTTCATTAATCCTATTTTTATGTGCATTATTCATTATAAATTAATGCGAGAGACATAATTGCATATATCAAAAGTATCGAATTGATCGTATAAATATTACAGGTTTATTTATTTTTAATAACAATACAAATGATAAACTTTACGGACATTGGATACATATATATATATTAAAAAAAAGGGAAATAATTTGCAACAATATAATCCAATGGAGATTCCTCTAGAACAGTCATATCTTTTCTACTATCATATATATTTTCTCTTAATAAACGCCTATGGTATATATGGGGTTAACATCAACGAAAAGAAAAGAAAAGGAAAGAAAGAAAGAAAAATTGCTGTTGAAAGTCCTGTGCTCCGACGATCGTACGTTCTGTTTTTTTCTCCGCTCCTTTCTTTTCTTTCTCGAACAAGAAAAAGGCGATTTTTTTCTTCTCTTTCTTCTTATTCTGTCTTCATAATTGCATTTCTTTCTCGCGCGGCAAAAAATAACTAGTCTTTTTCTTTCTCTTACTACTCAGTACATTCGCCTTGTATTAAGATCGTAGATGCATGCGCAACTTCTGTTTCTTTTTCTTTTTGTTTTGTTATATGCCTAGTACTGATAAACAATATAAATCCATTATTATACTAACATTAAAATTTTTTTTTTCATTTATTTATAGAATATTTCAGTCACATACTTCGTCTATCATTTAATAATGGGTGTCCTTGATATTGTTCCAACAGGTAAATATCGATAAGATCAAATAGTACATTGTCATTTTTTTTTGTAGGTGTAATAACCGGTGATAATGTTATGAAATTATTTACTTATGCAAGAGAACATCAATTTGCTATACCAGCTATTAATGTAACATCATCATCAGCTATTAATTCAGTTCTTGAAGCTGCACGTGATGCAAAATCACCAGTTATTATTCAAGTTTCACAAGGTGGAGCTCAATTTTTTGCTGGAAAAGGTCTTAATAATGATGGACAAGCTGCAAGTATTCTAGGTTCTATTGCTGCAGCACATCATACACGTACTGTTGCAAAACATTATGGTGTACCAGTTGTTTTACATAGTGATCACTGTGCAAAAAAATTAGAACCATGGTAAATTAATCTGATAGAACATAAGATACTTCTTTCGAGATCATTGTTAGTCAAATTCAGATATAAAAACGAATATTTACTTAAATAATCGTACAAAGTGATTCAGGCAGTTTATGAAAAATGATTTTCAATTATTGTTAAGACATATGTATGATCCATCCTCTTTTCTTTTTAAGGTTTGTTGGTATGCTTGAAGCCGATGAAGCTTATTTTAAACAACATGGTGAACCACTCTTTAGTTCTCATATGCTTGATTTTTCTGAAGAATCAAAAGAACATAATATTGATGCATGTAAAAAATATCTTACACGTATGGCACCAATGAAAATTTGGCTTGAAATGGAAATTGGTATAACAGGTGGTGAAGAAGATGGTGTTGATAATACCGGTGTTGAAAATTCTGCACTTTATACGCAACCAGAAGATATATGGGATATTCAACGTGAACTTTCAGCTATTTCACCATTTTTTTCTATAGCTGCTGCTTTTGGTAATGTACATGGTGTTTATAAACCAGGCAATGTTCGTCTTCATCCCGAATTACTTGGTAAACATCAAGCTTTTGTTAAAGATAAATTAAATTCAAAAGATGATAAACCAGTATTTCTCGTCTTTCATGGTGGTTCAGGTTCAACTAAAGATGAAATAAAAACAGCTGTTTCACATGGTGTAGTTAAAATGAATATTGATACAGATACACAATATGCTTATTGGGAAGGTGTACTAAAATTTTATAAGAAAAATGAAGGTCGTCTTCAAGGTTTACTTGATGCTGAAGAAAAACCGAATAAGAAATTTTATGATCCACGTGTATGGTTACGTGAAGCTGAAGTATCAATGAGAAAACGTGTTGAAGAAGCATTCAATGATTTAAACACTACAAAACAATTATAAACAATATTTAATTAATCAACAAAAATTATCCTTTTAGTATATTTCCTTGTTAGCATGTCTATTTTAGTTGTTTGCATAAACCTATATTGATACAATTAAAAATAAATTTTTCTCTTATATAAATGTATAAGAAATTTTTATTCTGTATTGTTATTTTCCAAAAACAAAAAATATTATATATATATACTCAAAAGATTTGAATTTTTAATAAATAACTATTTTTTGTGTAACGAATTAAAAGTATTTTTTTTTTCATAGATTAAATTCGAATAAAAATCTTAGCTTTATATCATATCTTTTTATTTACATTACAATAACTTAAAGTATTAACGAGAGTTCATTGGATTGTATTGGGAATATAAGCGAAACGATTATCTCAAAACACACATAGAATAAATTTCTTATTGTAGATGTCGCGAAGTGCATATAGAATATTTTACTCATCTAACATTGCTAATATGAAAAAATAAAATTTCTAGTTGGAAAAATTGTCAACGCAATCTCTGTGCGATTACAATATGACACACAATTAAACTATTCAATTAAATCGTAAATGGGGAAGAAGTGTAAATTTATACCCTGTATACTTCATCATTCTTTTTAAGCCGTATTTCTCCTAATAAATATTTTCATTTTGTTATTGCGAGAAATTTTGCAACAATTATAACTATTTCGATCTTGTGTTTATTATTACTATTATAAAAACAAACTAAAGCGAACTGAAATTGAAAGGAAAGAAAAAGAATTTCTTTTTTTTTCATGTTGAATAAAATAAAAACAATCGTCTTACTTTTTTCTAACTATTACGCAATAGAATTATTTCATTTTATTCATTTTTTTTTATAAAGAGAAAAAAAGAAATTCAACTCAATATCTTGAGAGTGTAGGTGTGGGTGCCAGGATGACCGCGTGAGATAAAGAGAATGCTCATACCAACACCCACTGTTACAGTCACATCTTCATATGCCTGCACACATTCTTTGCTTCTTTTTCTTTCTTTTTTGTGTTTTCGTTATTCATTCAAATAAAGATACAACGTGAAGAGAGTCTGCTCTCAGACCCACACCCGAAAGCGTAAGTGACCTCCAAATTTGGAGTTTATATTTTTTTCACTTGATATCACTGACAATTGTTGAATATAGATCTTAAATGCAAAGATATAAAAACTAGTCTTTATTTGTTTTTCTTTGGGCTCAAGAGAACATGTGATAAACAAATATCCTGTGCACTTATGCCTTTTCTGCCAGTTTCAAAGTGCATATAACTGATGAAATTGATCGTTTTAAATGTATTTTTACCATGATTCATTTGTCTACGAAATAATTCTAGTAGTATTGAAGATGTATATGTGAATAGGTGAAAAACATGATAATTGTTAGATTTGATATATGCTCATATGTAATGAAGCTTATTTATATATTTAAGCAGACTAGAATAAATTTGGTCGATCTGATGTAAATAGATATTCTTAAACAGAAGTTCACTATGACACAAAAAGTATTCTCGTCCTTGAAGAATATAATTTTTAACAGAGTAATCTCTACTGGTAAGAACGATGGAGGATCTTTCGAGATTCTAGCTCTCTCATATGACTGTTTCACTGATAATAGTTTATCTTCTTGCCAACTTTGTTATTTTTATTTTGTTGGTTTGGAGCATACACTGACATCATCTACATTTGATATCATCGAATTCAACTTTCATTTTAGGTTTTCTGGCTAAAGCGCTCTTTTAGATGCTTATTTCCATCAGCGATACAACACCTTTGCTTCGAGATAATTCTCGATCGCATATTCATGTGCCATTAAGTGTACTAAGTGTGGAGACGACAACTATCACTACCGATTCCGTTGCACCTGCTGCTTCAGAACAAAGACTGCATTCTCTTGATCAATATCGAGGCTTTGTAGTCTTGTGCTTACTGGCCTTGCCATTCCTGAGGCGGTTGAAATCTTCACCATCCGCATTCAAAGAACACTTGAACTACTTCGGCATTGCTGGTACGTGGGTGCAACAGGGAGAAGAATAACTCTCGCTAGATGATTGAGTTAGTTATCTTGTGCATATGCTGGGCTATGTCAGAAACCGGCAACTTTAAAAATAGGACATATTATTATTATGAACAAACCAATTTGCGAGCCTTTTGAGCTTAGTTAACGTATAAGTAACAAAAACGATAGTTTTCAATATGTTTCGAAGATGCAGATGGGAGGTATCTTTTTTATATAGTTATGCACATATTATAAAGTTGAGTTTGAAAAAAAGTGCAGTTCTTATCGCTTTATCTAAATCAGCTTTTGTTCACTGAATTTTTGAAGCATGAATATACTCTTTAGATGCCTCAATTCTACCTTGTAATTGGCTTTGCTATGCGGCTGACGCTTGTGCGTTTACGAGCTACGAAAGGATTTCGCGCGATGCTTCTGAAGCAGCTTCGTAGAAGTCGAACGTTATTTTTAATTAGCCTCTTGTATTATAATATCGACGATTAGACGAGCTGGGCCAATCTAAGCGACAATTGGCTTCAACTGCTTCTGCAACCCATATTGAGTAGAACATTATTTCAGACTCTGACCATCATCTCGATCGCTCAACTGATTATTCTTCCAGTTATTACTCGACCCATTTGGGTACGAGTGTGCTATATGATAGGCTTGATGGCTTTTTACATGTTGGGCCAATGGACTTTCTGGATGAAGCATCAATGGCAAAATGCTGCGGACGGTGGTAGTTTTGGAACATTTTCGTGGGCGTCATTAATTATTGCTGGAACCTTTCTAAACGATTGGCGTGAGGTCAGTCAATATTCTTTTTTTTATTATGTAATTATTCTAATCAGGGGACTTTTAGAACTGCCCTACCATTTTTGAGCTCGTATTTTCGAATGTGCGTGTGAATACGTTTTTTCCTTTTACATTAATCCGTTTGTTTCCAAGTAAAAAAAAAGTTTTCTACACTTTTAATTCTTTTCCGAAATGTATATGTATTTGAACTTTTGCCATTCTTTGGAATTTCAGTGGATTTGTGTTGTTCCTGTCAGCAATGCTATTGCTCGTAAGCACCGTGTGATTAAAGCGAGTATCGGACTCCTTACCGTAGCATTAGTCAGTTGGTTATTGGCTTATCTTATTTCATCAATTCCTGCGTCGTGGAGTCCAATATGTTTTTCAATGAAAGATAATAGTCCAACTATATGCCCTAACATGAGTCTACCTTCAATTCCATTTGTGGCACCACAAACCGATGTCATTTCAATATGGACAATGACTCAAAGACTCGTTTCACTCAGTTTTCATCTTGCGGTAAGTAGTCTTTTTAAAAGTAGGAGACGAGCTTTGATAATATTCTTCTTTTACAACTTTAATAGTCCATCGGCTATGCTCTGCCTGTGTATCTATTTTGGTACGTCGTGTCAGATGTCTACAATTTTCAATTTGCATTTCTCAAATCGCTGAGTAATCAGTCACTGCTCATATATATCCTTAACTACCGCACCGCAGTCAAACTTGCCACAAGTATCGTGCCCCGCGATTCACCACTCTATATGCTACCTGTTCTGTTTTGCATCGGTTTCGCTGGCGACGTTCTCATTCTTCGGTTTCTCGAAGGAAATAACATCCAACTACATTTATAAGCGCTGTCACATCATCGTCTGCTCTCTGAAAGCATGACTCTTTGTATCACTTTATTCTGTTTTCATTGCTATTTTGATTTCATTGTCTATTCGTGTGCTTGCATAACTGAGCGTACTTTAGGGTGGGTGTGAGTGTGGGTGTTGGTGTGAGTATGGATGTAGGTATGCATTGACTGAAGAACATCTACACCCACCCCCTCAATATTGAGTCAGCTTGGTTTTTTTCTTGTTTGTTGATGAATGTTGAAATTACATCTTGGTTTTGAAACTGGGTGTGGGTGTGGATAGATATCATATATATATACTTCCGCCAACACTCATACACATCCACCATCTCTCCTAGCGTTTGAAAATAAACTGATAGGACATTCATAATTCGAAATATAAAATATAGTTGTTGTTAAAATAATTATTTATTCAAAAAGCTTTTGAATAAATAGGATAGAACTACTGCACTTGAAAAACAAATTCAAATTCAAGGAGGAGTCCATAATAGAAAACTAGACTGCATGATACTGACAGAATAATAGAAATTGTTTATTAAATATAAGGAATAGTTTTAATAATGATTGTAGTATGACTAACACTAACAGAAGTTTAAAAAAAAATAGAAGTTTAGAAATGTTTGATAAGTTCAGTAGTTTTATAGTGGCATCATCTAGTTAACAAAAACTCTAATTTGTACTAATAAACAAGATTTTTTCATTAATAATTATATTCTTTAGTAAAATTTTTCCATTGTTTTGCATCATTAAAAATATAAATTTCTCGTTTACAATTATCTAATATTTGTCGTTTTTGCTAAATTAATGAAGTATATTCAATCGGTGAAAAGATGCTACTGATCAACATTTTCCCTTAATCAGAAATCGATAAATATTATGCCAAACAAGTTGTTTCTTTTTGTAATTATTCACATTATAAAAACACTTTTAATCATTCTTCCTTGCATCTATCTGTCTATAAACTATACCAAAATTATTTAGCTATTGTTCTATCTGAAATAAGTATTCTGCGCAATTTCTTGATTATATGTAAACAACTTCAGTTTTCACGTGTGAACTTGAAATTAATAATTTCTTTCTTCAATATATATTTTTGTGATGGATCCATTTGGAACAGCAGTAGTAATAATAGAATAAATGAAAGAGTAAAAGACTGCTACAAAGTACATTTCAAAATTCGAAGAATTTCAAAACGTACTTTGTAGCAGTCTTTTACTTCTTCATCTATTCTATATATTTTTGTAATTAAACTGAAGTATTTCATGATTATATTTGTATTGAAAATAATTATTTCCTTCTTTGAATAACGACAAATTTTGCACATAACAACAAAATACTTTTATATTTATTCTAAAAATACTTTTACTGATCGATACTTGTATTTTCCATAAATCTGTATCATTTTGACAAGTATTTTTTTTATATGTACTATTTTGACAAAATTATTTTTCGTTGTTTTTATAATACCTCATTCTAAAATACACAAAAATTAATTTTAAAATGTAAAACTCGAGTTTTATATGTATAGAACTGGAATACATCTAGGTCAAATCAATCTCATTGACAGAGATAATACCTGATCTCATCAAATATTTGTTTTTTAATTGATAAAGATCCATTATGAAGGTGGCATGTGTTAGTTACAAGTTCGATACTCTCAAAACATATTCTCTTTTTTTAGAAACTATATAGTAAAACTGTTTCAAAAATATTCTTCTTATCAAGTTTGTATACTCGTTCACATCAAATCTTACAGAATAAAAAAACAAATTATTTATTAAATATGAAATTCCTCATTCGTTAATAACTGAAATCTAATTTGAAAAAAAACAATTAACATGATATGATAATTTTATGTTGCAATACTTTTTTTAATACGTCAGAAAAAAAATACATCTCTAAGGGAACAGAAAGCTGAAAGATATAATTTAAAGTCATTTCCGCGAATCAAAATAGACCTTATCCTGAGAAAAAAAAATTCTTTTTCTATTTTCTATTTTTAATAAATACTCTTTAGCGACGTGTATAAAAAGAATACGATATTTGAGTTATTTGCTGTCAGTTTGATAAAAACAAGCTCTTTTCAAACGAGAACTTTTAACGACAAGAATAGTTTTTTGGTATGTATTAGTTTTTTCTGCCAGGACATCACTGTTTCTTGAGGGAGTGGGTGTGAATATGGATTCATCTTTTATATACCCACACCCACCCACCCTCAAGATGTAACATATTATAATCTTTTTAGTATTATTTAGTTAACAATTATGTTTCACTATCTCTTCTATAATTACTGCTCTTTTCTTACGACTGTTTGGCTATGGTTTCTATTTTTAATCATTAAACAAACTTATTCTCAAGCAATCTTTGCTAGTAAAACAATATTATCAAGTCAAGGTACCCAGTATATACCTGTTAATATGCCAGCTCAATTTATTTCGATAACTAATACTGATTCAGTCAAGAAATGTTCTATATTATGTAACAGTAATGTTCTATGTCGCATTTTTGATTATGCAGTATCTTCACCTAAACAATGTCGATTATTTGAAGGTGATACAAATAAATTAGGTCAAATTGTTACCTCAACTTCATCTCAATCGCAAGTTGGCACTTTACAACTTTCCGCACGTCTTTTCGTTGAATACGGCAGTCCATGTATTTCCACTTGTAATCAAATTCGCTATCTTCGATGTGGAAATAATTCTACGTGTGAATGTATGCCACATACTTATTGGAATGCATCAATTTCTATGTGTATTCCACAATCGCCAATACTTGGTGCATCCTGTCAACAAAATATGAGCATGTGTAGAGAAGACCTAAACTATACATGTTTACAATTTAATCAATGTGGGCGTAAGTTGTTCAATTTGTTTTCTATCATTATATTTTGTTCTGATAATTGAGACAGTATTACAAGATTTTATAGTTTGAGAGGTTTCAATGATTTCTTTCATAATCAATTCTACTTTTTATCTTTATAGCATTATCAGTACTTTCTGGAACAACAATTGCGAATGATACCACTAAAATAACGAATAGTTCAACTGCTGGTCTAAGTTATCCTATGGGAATTGATATATTTGGAACCAACAGTGACTCAATTATTATTGTAGATACGGGCAATAATCGTATTCTCGGTTTATGGGATGCTGAGACAAACTATAAAAACATTTCTGTAGTGGCAACTGAATGGACTCCTGGACAGCCTCTGGTCTTGCCTTGTGATGTGTATGTCAATGCTAGAAATGCATGTGATATTTATGTTACTAATTATGATAATCCTCAAGTTGTATTATATTCTAACATGCAAACAATTAATCCACTACCCCGCATGGTTGCAGGTCTCGGTTATGGTGGAGCAGGACTTGACCGTTTGAATGATCCATTTGGAGTCGTAGTAGATAGTAATAAGAATGTCATCGTTGCTTCTATGGCAGATAATCGAATAATGTTTTGGCCTCCAAATGCTTTGAGTGGTACAATAATAGTTGGTCATATCTCAGCTATTAATGGGAATACTTCTATGGATCTTGATTGGCCCCAAGGAATAGCACTTGATGAACACAATTCATGGTTATATGTCGCTGATTCAAATAACCACAGGATACAACGGTACAACTTAAATGATACTTGGCCATGCAACGGTACTACAGTAGCAGGCGGCAATGGTCCTGGTTCACGAAGCAATCAACTCTTTTATCCATCTTTTATTAAAATATCGAATAAGACGGGAGCTTTGTACATAGCGGACAACGGTAATAACAGAATTCAACGTTGGGATCAAGGAGCAACTGAAGGAGTAACTATTGCAGGTGATATCAATGGCAATCCGGGATCCAATGATACGATGCTTAACTCTCCTGCAGGATTAGCTATTAACCATAATGAAACATTCATGTATGTAATCGATCAAAGCAACAATCGCGTCCTCAGATTTCAGCTCATTTAAAATAACAATAAAAACAATCTATTTTTATCTCGCAATGAGAGTATGAGCACATATTTATTTATTTACATTTTTTTTGTTACAATATTAATCATGCACTTTATTTATTTATTCTAAATTATAAAATAAACATAGATCTATTTATTCCGATAAAATATGATTTCATTAATAAACAAAAATTTTGTTTCTTCTTTTCTTTATTTTTAGAAAACTAATCTAAAATATTTTATCAGATAAATTATTTCAGAAGAAAAACCAAAGAAATAAAAGAAATAAAAAAAGAAGAATTGTATGTTGAAAACTAAAATACCAAAAATTTCTTGTTTTACCTTCTGCTTTAGCTTTACGTTCATCATGTAAAGTTGATAAACGTTTGGGACGATAAACACCAAAATATTCTGATATCCAATTATTTGTTCTATATAATGACAAACCCATATCTCGTAAATAAATTTCCATTGGTTCTAACCAATAATATTGAAAATAATATGATTTTCGTTTAAACATTTTATAAATAAATTGTCGAGTTGTTTCAATTTCTTCCAACATTTCTTTTTCTGTATTTGGTAATTTAATTCGACCAAGAAAATAATCTGACATCCAATGACATTGAACTTCATAAAACATCCATGTATGTAAAGGTGCAGGTAAACCAATAAAGGCAATATTAGGTATTCCAATAGGAATTATTCGACGATACAAATCAAGATCAATACCTTCATCAGATGTTGATCTTGTTGTATTTCGAACAAGTATTTTAGTCAATGTTTCAGATAAAAATGGAAATGTTTCAATAAAACCAGTTGCACAAATAATTAAATCTGCTTGTAAAAATTCACCAGAATCGAGTCGAATTGTTGTCTTATCAATAATTTCATCAATCGATGCCAATTTTCTAATAATACGATTTTCACGAATCATTGCAACAAATTCTTTTGTTACACGCATAATATTGTGAGCATTGCGTATAGAACCTTTTGGTATGAATTTTTCATCAGCAAATAAATCTGATTTATATTTACTAATCAAAAAATTAGCTATACTATCAGTGATTTTAGTGAACACAAATGAAAAGACACGATGAAGAAAATAAAATGCAGCGCTATGCGGTGCATTAGGAAATGGATCAAATATATGTGTAAATATTCGACTAAATCCGTAGTCTAATGAAATATAACCATGAAGAATTTTATGTGGTATTATCCAATAAGAATGGCTGAAAACCATATGACAAGAACTCGCATGCATTGCTGCTAATGTAGCCATATCAATGGCACTTTTAGCACCACCAATTACTATTATACGTTTATTTTTTAATTGATCTTCACTTTTAATATCAGTAATATGTATAATTGATCCAGCGAAGTTATTTTGACCACGAAAATTTGGTTTTTCTGGTGTAGAAAAAAGACCAGTAGCTACAACAATTAAATCGAACTCGAATGTTTCATGATCACCACTAGCTGTTTCAACTTTAACAATCCAAGGAAGCTTGCCATTTTTTAAATCATTTTTATCAATTAATATAATTTTTGTTTCAAATCGAATTCGTTCGATAAGATAAAATTTATTGGCATATCGTTTTAGATAATTATGAATATTTTGCCACGGAGCACAATCCATAGCTATAATATACAAATCGAGAATATATAAAAACATTATTTATTATAACAATAAATATTTCACCTTCTGTATCATGTAGATTAGAAAATTCCATTAAATTTGCTGTTGTTTGAGTATGTTGATGAAAATAAGCCCTATCTGGAGACCAAATACCACCTAATGTTTTGTGTCGATCAAATATTGTAATATCAAAACCATCTTCTAAAAGAACTTTTCCTGCTGCAAGCCCTGAAACACCTGCTCCAATGATAGCTACACTTTTTCTTACCATTATATATTGACGATTTTTACAATTAAAGTATCATATTAACCAGAAACGTGCAATCAGATGAATATGTTTCGTTCTGTAGACAAGACAAAAAGAAAAAAATAATAAAACAATGGGTAGGCAACATAATAAGACACATCATCGGTTTAAATATACGATGTATATAATGAGTCATTTATCTTTATTTACATATCATATAAATTAAGGTATTTCAGTAAACAAACCGTACATAATATAGTTGAGAATGTCTACTAATCTGATAAAAAATAATATTAACAGAATGTTCTCTGACAACATTTCAAGATATCCTCATTTTATTGAATTATTTTTCTCATCTTATAATAAACTTAAATAATGAAAGAGTATCTTTTTTTTCTAAGAATTCTTTTATAATAAGTAGGAAAGCAATACTAGATCATCATTCAACGTATCATCTACTTAGAGTATCTGCAATTAATATGAAGTTTGTTTGATTTTGAATCAGTATTAAGATTTTTTAATTAGACATATAGGAGAAAAGTGAGAATATTTTATGATCAGATTCTATCACTAGTAAAATAATCAACATATATTTCTAATTAATTTTTTTATAGGGTGTGGGTGTGGGTATGGATGAGAGAATAAAACCCACATACACACTCACACACAAACAGAAAAACGTTGGATATGTTAAATATAATACTTTTATTTCTTTTCTTAATTTACGACAGACAATATAGCTTTACATCCCGATACCGAAGCATATTAATCGAAATACAACACAAAAAGAGATTTCTATTACGACAATGTCATCAACAATAGCTAAAGTTATTTATTCCATTATTTATTATGATATATTCGTACAGATCAATTGCCTATTAACACGACGATTTATTCGTTTTTTGTCTCATTTCTCTCGTCGATACCGTTCTAGCTCTTCACGCGTCATATCGATACCAAAACAATATGTTAATATATCCATTATTACAATAAACATTGCAACAATTGCTATAGCAGTAATTGCAATATAAGAAAATGATTTTGAAATGATTTTTGAGATAACTGTTTTTCTTGCAGTAAACTCACAATGAGAACCATAATAACTAGTACCAAGACATTCACATTTATAACCTAATAATAATGGTCGACAAACACCATTATTCATACATTCTACACCTTCACAAAGATTGACCATTGATTCACAATGAATACCTTCCCAACCATTTTCACATACACAATGAAATGTGGTGTTCGATGTTTCATTGCACGTACCTATAAAGCAGAATAGATTTTTTGTAATATTAACAAATAGAAGAATAGTGCAGAAAGTAAATACCATTATGTAAACATAGATGTGGTTTGCAGATTCGGTGATCAAGTTCACAATAAGTGCCATTGATACCTGATGGACATGAACAAATATATCTATTAGTTGCCACTTTATTGTTTATACATGTACCATTGTTTTCACATGGTGTTGCCAGCTCACATGGACTGTTTGAGATATTGCAACTGAGACCAATAAACGTCGAATCAGTGCAAGGTTTTGGAACGAAAATCAATGATGAACTATTAGCTAAAGTTAAAAAATAAATTATACAATGAACATAAGCGACAGATGTGAGGATATTAAAAGTAGCATCGAAAACAAGCAGCTTGAACTTCTGCTCATACATAAAATGTACATATTTCAAATTAATGTTTTTTTGAAAACTATGACACTTTGAAAAATGAATTAGATCTTTAATCCTCAGTATCAGTTTTACTCATATGATATGTTTAGATCACTTATGCGCATTTGGAAAACATTAATGGTATTACAAAGCGTTTTCCTTTACAACATGTATAATACTAGAGTTAGATGTAAGTCTAGAAAAAGTATTTGGTGACCTACCATCTACAAGTATAACTGAGTTATATAAAATAAAGGAAATAGTTTTACATACCATTGCTCCCAGTCGTTACTATAGGTGATGTTTTTTGCGCTAATGTTGTTGTTGATAGCGTTCTGGTTGATGACCTTGTTGTTGATGGGGCTGTTGTTGATGATGTTGTTGTTGATGGCGTTGTTGAGTATGTTGATGATGATGTTGTTATTTTTGTTGATATTGTTGTTGTTGTAGATGATGATGTTGTTGATGATGCTGTCGTTGTTAATGATGACGATGTTGTTGTTGACGATGATGATGATGTTGTTGATGGCGTTGTAGTTGATGATGTCATTGTTGTTGTGGAAGGCGTTGTTGGTGTTGTTAAGGATGATGATGATGTTGTAGGTTCATCTGTTTATATCAAAAACTTTTTATTTTAGATTATTCCGGTACTTATGCTCTGTCTATTTGTTCAACTTCCCCGCATGATTAACTTTAAACTAAAATCACTGTATATGACTAAATCGAATATTCGATGGATCTATCCCTCTAGGAGCATGAGACCCCAGGTCCTAATAGTGCTAATAAATATAATGGACGATGCAAGTATAAAATGTATGACTTCTTTGAATATTTTAAGACATAGTTCATAAGGCCACATAATATTGTGACAAAAATCTTATAAATGATTGATAATTTCAATATTGCACATAATATGACACAATTATGCACAAAAGAAATTATACAGATTTTTGAAACAACTCTAAATTATTTGAACTGATCTTTGCAAATATCATATCTAGGATTTGAAAAAGTACTCTCTCATCTTTACATATGTTAAGCCCCCCCCCCCTAAAAAAAGCCAATTTTCGTCAAAATTTTCGAAATTGAGATAAATGCATGGGAAGATAGCCCGAGTTCTGTTCTTTTAGAAACGGACAAAAAAAATTTAAAATTCTATCGTTTGTCGGTTCAGAGATATTCACAAAATATAGTATTTCTCGGATTACTTGGCATTTCAAAAACTTCTTCCGCATTTTTCTCAGAACGTAGGTTTGACGAAGTATTTTGAAAAATACGCAATCATGGTACGATATAAAGTCAAATACTTTTTTTTGTTTGAAAGAGCGTCAAAAACTGCAGGTGCCATGAGGCTCCGTTTCTCTAATATAGCTTCCGTAGTTCATAATGGAAAGTATTTCAATAACTCGAGCGCCATTTTTTGAGCACTTTTTTAGTGAATGAAATTGTTACCTTTTTTCTTCGCTTGCTAGATAAGAGTTTCAAAAAAAAGGAGCCTCATGGCACCTGCAGTTTTTGACGCTCTTTCAAATAAAAATAAATGTGGAAACTTCGGATTGTATCCGAGAGTTATGCGTACTGCAAAAAGTGTATCTGGAAATCATAGGGAAATATCAGTATTTTTGTAACAACTAGGGAATAGCCCAGTCAATTAGGCTCATCTTCGAACTCGACCGAGATTTTGATCAGATTAAACTGTGCACAAAATTTCAGCTTAATCGGACTATTCTTTCGAAAGTTATCGTATATACGGACGGACACACTGACCGATTCTAGTAGTGTATTCACTTTTTGAGTATACAAAAAAAGACGGATGTGAGGGTGAAGATGGGTGTCGGTGTGACAATAGATAAAATAGGATGCTCACATCTTCACCTTTATAGAACAAAAAGCATTCATATTTCTGCACTTGTCCGAGTTTCATTCAATTAAAAGATGAGTAACTCTATTAATAGCTGCTATACCAGCAATACGATCTAGCACTAAAAAATTCTTCCGTATCATTATATCATTCGTTTTCAATCTAGGAAGTAGTTACAAAGATTGGAGAAATTCAGCTAAAAGTCTCGAACTTTTCAGACTACCTTGCATGCACGTAGTAAATGTGAGAACGTTTTAGAATGAGAGCAGAAGTTAGAATTCAGATCCGCTGGATAACAAACCCATATTATAATACGCACCATTCAATGAATGAACCTAATTTCTTTGCCAGTTTAACATATCCCTAACGATGATCAATATTCAGAACCTCTTTTAGGATATTTGAAAAGACACACTGTCACATCATTACTGATAAACTTTCATCTTTTAAACTATAAAATAATTTCATTCGTACCATCATACAAACGAACTTCATTACTGCTGTTTAAAGATAATCTACTATAAAAATCTCAATAAGGTGCTCCGATGCGAGACCCCCCTACAATCAAGCATTTAGGATTCACCCGCAACTTCTCAAAGTTAACGCTTTCCATATGAACAAGGCTCCATACGACGATACCTTTTAAGCAAACACAGAATACGGAAAGGCAGTTACGTTTCCACACACAAGCCATCATAACTCATACGACATTCGTAATCCATAAGCATAATAGACACTGTCCTTGCCATTTAGGCAACGCTTATTTCAAAACTAATTATTACGTACTTGTGCATGTTGTACCAGTCCATCCACCTGTACACTGACAATTGCCATTAGTAGGATTACATGTTCCACTATTTTGACATCCGCCTATAAACACAAATACACGTATAACAGAGCACGTTGTTGAACAAAACGCACTATGAAAAGAACTTACAAGCTGAGCATGTTGGACCACTAGTTTGACCTTGACACGTGCAGCTACCATCAGCAGGATTACATGTTCCATTATTTTGGCAAGGAGTTGGCAAACACGCTTCAAAAAAAGGAACAGATATATATATTCATGAATAAACTTCACTTGTTCGAAGCTGAACAACAAACAGCGATATAGCCATTTTTCGCGATGGAAAAATTTCTTGAAAATACGAAGGCGACCATTGGAAGGATTTTGTACGACTCAGTTTTTGAGAATCAGTCCAGGTGATTTTTTTTTAATTTATCATCCTTCTCAGAATGAAGCTGGCCGTTTTTCGTCTTTCTTTTTATTACAATTAATTAGAAATAAGGTTAAGGTATAGATATAAGTAGTTAGAAGCAGATACAAGGAGATAGTTATGAGATTAAGGTTTATAGCAGGCTTGCCAAACCTTCTGATTTAGCCAGGATTCTCCTGCCTTTTTTACTTTTCTCCTAGCTGAAAATCTCCTGATTTCAGGAGCTGATTTTCAGCATTTTCTCCTGATTTCTCCTGATGTTTAGCAATACTCTGAATCAATAAGAAAGTTAAAAGGAAAAAACGAGAACTATTGCAGTACTCAATAATTATAGTAACGAATAAGAAAATATTTGCTTTTATTTTATTTTTCTCGAAAAAAATCATCAATTGTAGGAGCTAGCTGTACACAAAGTATTTATTTTACTGGAAACAGCAGAAAGATGCATGTTATTGTCTAGAAAACAAGATCTTGATATTCAGACAAGAGTCTGATGTGCAACATTTTAAATGGCCAGTTAAGATGTCTCTCGTCTAGAAAGATTTTCACATTTCTTGAAATTCACGTCTGATTCTTCTTAGCTCAGAATAGCACAATATCTTGAATAATTTAGCAAGATTCTTGCGTTTCATTTTCATTAGAGAATTGTTATAGGTTCATGGGCACTGCTAATTTTGTTGTCAAAGTCTGACACGAATTATAAACATGAAAAGAATGAATAGGTATATATTACAATAACAGAAAGTGAAGATATCAATGGTAAAGCAACAGAAGTGATAGCCATATCGATAAAATGTTCACTGAATAGATCATAAAAGGCTTAAGACAAAAACAACTTCCATTGTCAAAAATTAGCTTATCTTGTTTTTTTTTACAGCATATTAATGCTATAGACCGCTCATTGTAAAAACAAGCGGAGAAACACGTACAATCGATTCATATATCGATGTAAGAAATAAAGAATGCTTGTCTTTTTTTCAAACTCTGTCAAGAATCTTTCTATCGTTCTATTCATTTGTATAAATACTTTTACTTAAACTTTACAATGAAAAAAAATTTTGGCTGATAGATTAGAATGAAAATTAATTTGGAAATAATATAGATAAGAATATTAACTGATTAAGAGTACATAATAAATATAACTAAAAGAACGCTTTTCATGATCATTCTGTATAGCAAAAAAATATTATTTGTGATAAAATTCAAGTGAAAATAATATCATGTGTATTAAATTATTGATCACCAACTTGATGCGAAGGAGATAAATATTTTTTTTTGTTAGCGAACGTTCGAATTTTCTACGAGAAAACCGTCTAATATTTTCTCAACTTAAAATAGAAAACCTCCTGATTTTCCTACTGATTTAGGAAAAAACTTCTCCTGGAAAACTCCTGCTTTTTTTTTTGAAACTCCTGTTTTCTAAAATTTTGATTTGGCAACCCTGGTTTATAGATAGATGGAAGAGCATAGAAAATAGACATAAGAGTTTAGTTCTAGATATAAGGACTTAGAAACAGATGTCTATATACAGGTTTAGTTGTACACATAATTCGTTGGATACAGAAATTAGTTATTTGAAACAAGCCTATGATAACAGATATACACACTGTTAACTCAAGAAGGTTGCTTTTGATAGAATACACATGGGTGGTATTGCATTCCGTCAAACATGATACGAAACCTTATTTGAAGGCAAGAAAAATTAGTTCTACACGGAACCCTGTGTACGAAACTATTTTATTATTGGAATGAAAAATAGTTCTCTGAGAAACCTTGTTTGTATGAAACCAAAAAAGGGTTTTGAATTCGTTGCAAACACCGAAACACTTTTTCAGTTTCATGTGACACCTTTTTTGTTTTTAGTGTAGTCTGAAGCTAAGAAAACAAACAATTAATGTAAGTTATCACGTTCATTTAGCAGTGCTAAAGCACCAAACAAGAAAATTATCGGAGGGTGCGGATGTGGGTGAGTATGAGGCATCTTTGGACACATGTTCACCCATCCTAGAATGAATAAATTTACTTACCTTTACCACATACGCAACAATTCTTCTCCGGATATTTGAATTCAGCACCTAATGCCCAATCATTGCCTATTGTTGCCTTTCCATCTTTACACCAAAAAATGGATGTATTTTCAGGATGCATCGCGTAATCTGCACAAGCCCAACCTTTTCCACCGTTGGCGTTGGAGGCGGGATGGCCATTGTACCAATCGGGTGTATCTCGACAAACGTCGGGATCTAAAACAATACGCACTTATTGAAAACCCGTGATGCTATCATCATGGTGTGCAGCAAAGAAAACATGTAATTAATACAAACTATCAAGCTCATTTAGCAGTGCTAAAGCACCAAACAAAGAAATTATCGTGGCTGTGGGTGTGGGTGCTAGGTAAATATAGTATCCATATCCGCACCCACACACCCAAGGAATAGACATTATTGGACATTTGTCGACTAAAAAGAAGGTTTCATAAACCAAGAAGAGAGCAGAAACATCTTAAACTATGAAAATTACTAGTATACAATAAGGGATTTTTACGAGCATTTGACTATGAACAGTGTAGAAAAAACAACTAGTGAGAAACTAAGAAAGTTTAGGATGTAGAAGTAAATTTGTAGAAAATTATTAAATTTGTGACGGGGTGACAAAGAAATTACTATCAATATTTGATAATTATGAAAATCACAGCAAGTTCTAACAACTGAGACGTGGCAAATATTCAGGGTGTGAGTGTGAGTGTTTACTAAAGGAAAAGATACCCAATCCACCTTTATGATCAGAACATGAACTTTAAAGTTCTTAATCAGTATTTTAGGCTTTCCCATAAGATAAAGAGATTCTTATATAAATATTTGTCATTAAATGACGAATTTCATCAATGAACCTGAGGTAAAGTCTAGTTTATTTAGAGGAATATAACAAAAGCTAAACGGGATATAGAATCAAATTATTTAATGCTTTACACAAATGCTAAATAAACGTGTTTTCTTGGTTGCAAAAAAGTATCGATGAGACTAACCTGTAGGACAAACACCAGAATATATAGTTGAGCAAACACGGACTTCAATATCGTCAATAGCTATACTGTTTCCCTCACCTCCTTTAACGTGGGAAATCATTAATAGTGTGACCGATGTAACTGATGCATTGAATAACAAACTATGCTTTTCCCAAGTCATGTTCAACTGCTGCTGTATGGAGCCCGTGGTGACGTTTGCAAGTAAATCTTGTGAATCGATTGTTTCTCGGACTTCAAAGCGAACATTTGGTTTGCGTTCTAGGGGAATTTTGACAACATTAGCCAAATATGCAGAGAATTCATAAAATAATCCAATACACAAATTATCGATAGTTGAATTGAAAAGTGTACTATTTTCTTCGTCTTTCACATTGATTATGAGCATATATCCATTCGAATCATTCCCTGTATGGTCTTCTGCTCCAGTATGCCATATCGTCGACAATAATTGTGAGGAAATAAGATATTGAGGAACTTTATTTACAATACCAAACATCCCGTCGCTTATCGTAGTCTCATTTAGACCTATAGGATCCTGATTTGTGGTGAAATTGTAGCTAGACGGTTCCCTCTCGCAATACAAATCACGATCAGAACCAAATGTAATTAACAAAAGTGATGTGCCATTGTTGTTGTCCTCATCAGAACATAAACTACTAGTAGATTCTAAGAAGAGAAAAAGCATGCAGTTAGTTGTTGTTTAAAATGAAGCAAAAGTTCTAGGAAATCTTCAGTAACGATTTTTATGGAGTGGATCAATGAAATCAGGGTGTGAGTATGAGTGTGTGTTCTCGTCCAAATAATCAACACCGCACCTTCGACTTTTCTTTCACAAAGCGGTGCAATAAATACATAATTTAATTGTGCCTCTTACCTGGAAATTTAACCCAATGGAACTGTATTCGATCTAAAGATGATCCTGCTTTACCACTTATAAACGACAGATAATAACCTTCTTTGCTATCGTTAAACGCTCCACCGCCATTACCGCCACATTTGGAGTCAGGTAATTTTCTGTTTTCAGTGGTAACAAATTGTAATGAATCAATTTTTGAGCCACTACCACCGTTAACTTGGATAATTTTTTCGCCAATATGCAAAGTGAAGGGATCGCATTTAGTACTATTTAATGCGCTACCGTTGCTTCTGCCATGTTCGGATTTCCTAGATGTTGTTCCATCAGATGCTTCATATGTAATATGAATCGATTCTACAAGAAGAGTTTTAGGTGAACTCTTTGACACTTATAATCACATATCAAAATACGTTCAATACTAAATCATAGTTTTTTGTGGACGAGATTTGTCAATAACAAGAAATAAAAGAGCTATGGATAATTCTTAAATTGAATTGACGGATACATACGATTGTTAAAAATTTTTGGTCACAGTGTGTTTAGAAAGTTGCGCAAATTGACTCCTATTTTCAGCGGATCCCGTTAGATAATCGTGTCTTTTGGTAAAAATCTGCCAATCGTGCTTTCATAATAGCACAATATCAATACATTTCTGCTACAAGATAAAATTTTCTAACGGAATCCACTGAAAACAGAAGCTAATCTGCGCAACCTTCTAAACACACTGTGTCTTTAGTTCTTAAACACCTACAGATATTTATCAATTCAATTTATGATTTGACACTAAAAGTACTTTTACGCAATTTCAAATTGTGATCACAGACAGTTTAAAGACATTGTTACTTACCCACTACAAAGTGTACACCAGAGTTTCCTTGGGTCATGGAGATTGTTTTTGGAGCATATATCTTCGAGCTGCCAAGATGTTCTACATCATTAAATTGTGATCCTTCGTTGCCTCCGTGTGACTGACCGGCCACTATTTCCGGTAGTACTAAATGAAAACAAAATTAGAGTACATAATAAATGTAAATTATTAATCTATTTAGCACTGTTAAAGCTCTAGAAATAGATATTACCGAACTTATCTGATTGGAAAGAAGGTTTCATCAACTTAGAAGAGCATAGAAATATCTTAAATTATAAAAAATTACCAACATACAATAAGGGATTTTTATGAACATTCGCCTATAAGCGCCATGGAAGAAATAATCGGCGAGAAGCTGCGGAAGTTTAGGATATTGAAGTAAATTTCTAAAAAACTATCAAATTTATGACGAGATAACAAAGAAATTACTATCAATATTCGATAACTATGAAAATCACAGCAAGTTCTAACAACTGAGACGTGGCAAATATTCATCAGTATTCATTCAGTGTTATAGCAAAGATGAACAGCACACAGCAAGATTCTTATTGAATACGATGTAGCTTTACTATAAAGGATAACATGTAAAAAAATTCGAAAAATATCTTATTTAATGGTGCTATTAATATACTACAGAATGACGTATTTATTTGCTGTAGATCTCAGTACTATCCAAAGAAGACATTTTTCACTAATATCGACCGTATAAAAAATGAAAATAGTTTCACACAAAATTCCTATCAACCGATGATTTCATGCTCAATGGACATTATCCTCTAGTTTTCAATTGAATCGATATAGTTTTATTTTGTAGTTTACAATATTAAATCATGTAAATTATTAGAAGACTTCTGATGAACTGAAAATTGATTCATTTTAATGGGCGTGTATGCCTGCTTTCGAAGTCGATGTACACACTTTTTACTAGTCAATTGAATTCTAAGCAAAATTTCTACAGTTCTTTTCGAGTGATAACTAAAATTAGCCATAAGAAAATCACACTCCTTTTCGTATTTAATTGTATGTGAGCTATAGAAAATCTTCTAAAAATACACTATTGAAAAAGTACCTATTTTACGTTGCTTTTCTATCTCAGACGATTAAGTGAACACAGGAAATATACGACTGTCGTAGCTAGATGGTCAAAAATACTGACGATACGATTATAATTTTTTTTAAGCTTTAAAAAAATCGATCATTGCCCTGAATTAAGTGAACAGAAAATAACTAACGAGAGAATCTCAGCAACTGACTAAAAGCTTTGAGATTTATATTCTGGCCATTAGCGAGACTTACGTTAATGGATTTGAAGAAACTCTAAAAGAATTTCTGCTCTTTTATTGTCTTTCTCACTAAAATACGGACGTTTTAAGTTTAAGATCAGCAATCTATCAACATTATTTGTTTTTGTATAAATTAAAATATTAATATATATATATATCAGAAACTATTCATATACCTCTATTCGAGATTTTGCTGTTCTCTGTTCTTACAACTGTTCTTTTCAAGGAAACTGAACAATGAAATCAGTTTTTGTCATAAATCGATAAACTGTTGAACTTTCAGAATATCATCGTATGATAATTTATATCACAGTAGCTGCTAAGAAAACTGGCTACTAGTATTTAGTAAAATTAAAATTATCTATGGAATAAACTACACGTATTTGATTTCTTCTATAATAAACTGTTTTTGTATTCTATATAAATACGTAGAATTAAAATATGTTAACACTAACTGAACTTGGTAATTCTAATATTTCGATTGATTTGACTCACTTTGATATTAAGAAGACATTTTGTTTTCTATATTTACCTCTTATTTCATTAATAATAAATAGAATTATTATTTGTGTAAAAAGATTCGTTGATAACATCTTTTGATTTTCGTTTAAGACCTTTTCAATATCTATATAATAATAATTTGAATAAAACATAGGTTTTCTCAAGATCTAATAATTACTTACTATACTTTCTTGAAAACAACAAAATGAAGTTATGTTAAGAAACTTTGTTTTATTATTCTCTTCTTCCTATTTTTCTTAAATTAATATTGATTGATCGTTCTCTAAGTATTTTTTTAAGATACAACATTTTGAGCTTATATTACACTGTGTATATAATCGGCAAGTAATCGGAAAACTTATTTCAAAATCAAATATTGCCTTCTCAAATAGAAGAAAACATTCTTTTTTTGAATATTATCATGAATATATCTTGGTTTCTCCTTTCACTTTTTCTTTTCTTGATATATGAAACCATAATGATTACTTCCTCTCTTACAGTTATGCTAAAATGGAGAAGATACAATTCATTCAGTTCATTTTCCTATTAACTTCACCTTTTATTAAAGTAAAACGTTCGATGTTTATTTGTCATATACTTTCCAACACTTATCAATAATCAATAATTTGATCTAGAAAGCATTTTATGAGAAAAATAGTAATTATTAGTTTAATTCAATTAAATCTTTAACTTAATCATAATTAGATATATTCTGTATCAATCTGTTTATTTGTCTTAATTTCAAATTTTATGATTCAAATTGAAAGAAAACTAATTACATCAGGCAAACAAAGTATTAGTTACGAGTATCAATATACTATTGACATCAATGTTAGTCATATTTTTGATTCTGTTACAATTTCCATTAAAATAGTTGTTTTGAACATTCATATAGTGTTACTATTTAATTTTCTCTCAACTGATTTGCATTAGATTGTCGTTCTTTCAGTTTTTTAATTATTGCTGTAATTAATCATAGATTAGTATATCGAGTTAGAAAACGAAAGTATTATTAATTATTCGACTGTGGCTTGATAAAAGCTAGTTATTAAAAGCATACTAGCCTAGAAACTTTCTCATCGACTCGAAGTTTCATTGAAATTTATTATATCGTTGTATATAGAAAGTGAAACGTTTCTTTTTTTTACATTTGAATAAAACTTTTATTTCGAAAATTATCTGTAATCTGACTTCAAGATCTGCTTAATGAAGGAATTCATTTGTGAGTTATCTTTGATTTATAACTTTGAATTTATTTATTTGTTTAAAATACAAAAAAATTGATATATTTTATTTATTCTGTTCATTGTTCCATTCAATTGAATATTTCTTGATACTAAACAAGTGCATTAAATGGATTTAATATCCAATCATTTTCATTTCGAAAATAAAGCATTCGACTTGGATTTCCTCGACGTTGTAAAGCTGTAAATGCACGAATACTTTGTGTATCTGGAACACAATAATCTCGTTCACCTTGAATAACAAGCATTCGTTGTGAACAATTAGCAATATGATGAATTGGATCAAACTTTTCAAAAGCTTCAGGATTTTTATATTGAGTAAATCCACCTGAATCATGTTCATTAAACCATAATTCTTCGATAGCATAAGCCATTTCTCGTAAATCAAATGTTCTCTCATGATTAATAAGAGCTTGAAAACGATGAGTCACTTCTGGATGTCCATCAATATATGGATATTGTTCTAAAGCAGAAGTAAGAGTGCGAGTGTGGATGCCAGGTGAATACAGCATCCATACTTACACCCATTGTGCGTATACTCTGCAGCATCAGAGAGTGTTGTATGATTTTTTTATAAAATGAGAAACGGTTATTAATAGTTGATATTTCTTCATATTTGAGAAATATTATTAGGCTATAAATACAATATTCATCATGTTTTTCAGTTTATAGAGCAAATCAAAACAAGAATACATCTACTTACATAACGAAGCAAAATAAAGACATAAACCTTTCGAATGTACCAATGGATCTATCGTAAATATTTTTTTCACTTTAGCACAGTTGCATCGTGTTTCTTTTCTTGTAAAGTCTTTTGTAACAGCTTTTAATTCATACAAACAGACTCCAAATTCCGTCAGACAAGGTACAAATGTCTGTTTCATTTAGAAATTGTTCAACATAATCTATATGTGCAAAGTTAACATCAAGTATAGTCAGATGGGGGTATTCAATAATTGAATGTAATTGACAATTATCAGATGAAAATGTCATACGATCATTGAATTTTTGTGATTTACTATTCCAAATATATAAATGCTTCAATAACGGAAACGATCGGGCAATTCGCATGAAGAATTCATGTTCGAATGGAATAATATCTTGTACAAGTAAATAAGTAACATAACTGAACACAATATTTGATAAGTTATTGCCTATATCTCGAAGATAATCATATTCAAAAGGAAGTGAGAAAATTGAGCAGGGAACTCTAATACCATAAATATAATTGACAACACCAGCACAATCATTGATCATACTAGTGACATTTTGTATTCCAATATTTGTTGAATATCTTCACTAGATAACTTGTAGGGTAAAGCATCCGGATCGACATAAGTACAAATATAGAAAGTGAATGAACGAAGTTGTAGCATATGATCCAAAATATCATGTTGAACATAAGTACCATCAATGATACTATTTCGACCTTCTATAGAAATATTTAGAGTTAATTTTTCCAGATTTGACATACCACGAAGAAATAAAACAATTTTTTTGTATTGTTGAAATGGATAGAACGATTTTAATGAGAAACATTTCAAATTCAATAATTTATCCTACAAAAAGAAAGAAATATTTTTTTGATAATCTATAAAATCAAGTCATAGACATCATTAGTTTACACATGGTATATAATCTATATTCTATGTGTGAATGACAAATCTATTAGTTTGATTTTCTCATTTTACAGCACAACAAACGAGTGTTAAAAGAACAATTAAAGTATCAGAAAAACTTTCAATCATATCTCAATTATTGAAAAAATTTCGTTCCATTCTATGCTAATGATCATTCCCATATGATTATATGTAATCAACCATGGAACAAAGTAGTCTAGTTATCAAAATGAAACTTAGCCAGTCGATCCCTTATCTGAATTTTTTGATATCAATCGTTAACTGCATTGAAATAGTAATAATCTTCATGGTATAAACGAAATTATTTGTAAAAACTTACCATATTGTGAACAATTTCTTCAAATGTGTCGATATGATAGACATCAACACACAATGTTGTCAATTCTCTAAGTCGACCATCAAGTAAATAAAAACAATCATCAAAAGTTTCGACATTGATATTTAAATGAGTAAGAATTGGAGATGAAAAACTAGTCGATGGCAAATAACAAAGTGATAAAGGTGGATTTGACATAACAGATGGTTCCATGATACTTAATTTTTTTAAATTTTTGAAAAAAGTCAAGGTGTGAACATATACATTTTCGGTAAACCTTCCACTTTATATTTATCATTATTGATAAGAATAAGATTTGTAATTTGTTCTTGCAAAATAGATCGAAGTGATGATTGATCTAAAGGAGAAAAGCAATGTAGTGAAACATACCATAGTCTTTTCTTAACTAATCGAATTCATATCAAATACTTGTAAAATAATTTGAAAATGAGAAATTGTACGTTTAGTTATATTCGGATAGTCAGTGGCAAGAAGAATACGGTCCATAAAAACTGCATCAAAAGCAAAACATTTCACATTATGATGAACTCTTGGTAATATGTCGATGCAGAATCAATCGATTATAGAAATATTATCAATGGAGACAAATTTCAGAATGTCTGTAGAAGTGATTTCTTGTGCAAGAATGTTAAGTCGTCCAGCATTGATGTACAATAAAGAATAAAGTACATCCATATTGCTCAAGTACTTCAAAATAATAAGTAATATTTCATCAGGTAAATCCAGAAGATGAACATTTGATCGGTTCATATTTTACTATGACTATGATGTTTTTGAGTACGATAAAGCTCTATATACATACATATTTGTTCATTATTTGCATCTCATACTTTGACCTCAAACAGAATGAAAATTTAGCAACATCATTGGTCTATTTCAAGTTAAGTTATCTTCTTTCAGGCGATTTATTCGTTAATTAGGTCTGTTCGGACGTTTTATGCCATTGTCAGATTGAGTAGGTCAACCTTTTCACAAACGTAAAACAATGATCTATCGTTCGACCATAGTTATTCAATGTTGTGTGTAGTTTCGAAAGAAATTCAAGGATGACATTAAGAAGAAGAAGGGATCTATTTATCATATAAGAGAGTCAGTTGAATTTCATTCGAGATTTTTCCAATTTAAAATCAAATCTGAAATTTTTGTAAAAAGACAGTTCTTTGAGGACCTCACGTCTTTTAATTACAAGAAAATTTAACTACATGTTATAATAATAGACGCGCATCCACACACTCACACCCGGCAGTAGCTTCGCGGCTGCTCACATGCCTCTTAACCACCTGTTACGTTTTTTTTGGCTGATTATCTTTTATTTCGCAATAAAATTAGTAAGATTTAAAAAAAAACGTAGCGCCATCGTAGTCAACGTGGTCTTAATGTAGTTCACAAACACACAAATTATCACGAAGAAGAGCAAGACGAAGATAGCAGGTAGCACCATCACGTTTCGTAAAATTCTTGTAGATACCATCATCGATAAAACGCTTCCATTCATCGTCTGTCCGATTCTTGCAATTGGTGATCCATGCCCATGTGTCTTGATCTCCAGTGAAATGCCAATCACGACACATATGACATTTTGCACAAGGACGACCTTCACAACGCAGTTTTTTACAGTTATTGAGATCATCAAATTCTTGATGTTCTAAATTAAAATGCTTAATCGTTAGAAAATCATGTAGAGTACACACGGTGAAGTTTTAGTTTTTTAAAGAGGACGATGTTAAACTCGAAATAAGTCTATGAAGATTGGGAGTATATTTTATCTAATCATCTTTAGTACGCACCACTTCATTTTTTGATTAATTTGTAGAAGGGAGTCATTGAAGAAAGTATTCAACATGACAGATTTACTTACCACTTGATTGATCCTCTTGTACGTCTGCTTCGTTATCACATACTGTACCTTCAACTTTCGCTTCAATTCCATGTTCAGTATCGTCAATCTTCGCTTCATTCTCATGTTCTTTATCATCAGGTTTCGTTTCATTTCCATGTTCTGTAATGCAACCTTTCGCTTCACTTTTATGTTCTGTATCGTCCATCTTCGCTTCATTTCCATGTTCTTTATTGTCAGCTTTTGCTTCATTTTCGTGTTCGATATCTTCAATTTTCGCTTCATTGGCATGCTCAGCACCTTTACCTATCGCTTTATTTCCATGCTTTTTATCATCAACCATCGCTTCATTTCTATTTTCTTCATCATCAGCTTTTGCTTCATTTCCATGCTCTGTAACGCCTACTTTCGTTTCATTTTCATCTTCTTTATCGTCAACCTTCGCTTTATTTCCATGTTCAGTCTCGTCAACTTTCGGTTCATTTTCATGTTTAACGCCAGCCTTCGTTTCATTGGCATGCTCAGCACCTTCAACCATCGCTTCATTTTCATGGTCTGTAACGCCATATTTCGTTTCATTTTCATGTTCTTTATAGTCAATCTTCGCTTCATCACCATATTCTGGCTCTTGAGCACGGCCTTCTTCACATAAACTTTGTTGATCGTCTGAAGTAAATAGAGAAAGAAACAATTACACACGACACACTTTTTATCCACATAGCACTGACGATGAGAAGTAGATATAGAGAAAAGACGAAATAGAAACAAATATGACTATGCTAACACTATTCACTGTCTCTATCGCGATTGGATTATTCAGTGTGGTTCGAGACTCTAAAAAATGAAGAGTGAAGCTCAATGAGAATCACGAACAACAGATATTGATATAAAAAACAAGTAGGATAACTAATGAACCGTCTCTTTATTGATCACAATGATGCTTAGATCTGGTTAGTAATATGGTTGTAACTAATCATGAGAACAAGAGACGTGTATGATTATGGAAGAAATGTGTGCTTTATTTTACCAGTGCTTGCTATGTCGAAACATGTGCGAGAGTCGTGAAAGTCGCATTACCTTTGAGATACACTGCACCAATATTGACTAGCACGCTTAATATAAAGGATGTTAACATTATCAGTTCTAACGAGGATTCAATAAATGTGTTAACCTAATACAGATTTTGAAGTCGTATTGGATCCTTCTGAACACACGTGATAAGAACAAATCTCCAGGTTCTAGTCACTAAGTCGCTCTCAAATGATCGAATTTGTTTGATTCTAATCGTTTTTTCTTCGTTGATCATCAATTATTGAAAGATCTGTTCTCATATTCACCTAATCATTTCGATTGTAGCGTATATGAAAATTCTACATTTTATTACTTTGAATCATATAGTGCGTCGTTTGGCAAACATAGCATTTAATTTTATATATAACCGTAAGACGATGATATAGAGAAAAAAGATAAAGAATAAAGAAGAAGCGAAGAAAATAACAGAGAGTGTCAAGATATTCTGAATAGAAGGCAGACGCATTGATGTTCTGACGCTAAGTGGTTAACGATATGTGGTTATGAAACTATCTCGAGGGTGTGAAAGTGTCAGGATGGCTCAGTTAGAAATTCAATCAATATCCTTATACACATCCACATCTACCCTATTCCATTTTTCGTCTAGTCGATTCCACAATTTTCTTCATATTGGGCATTTAATACATACCTTGATTGTCAATGATAACCGTTGCAGGTGGATTTACAGTTTCGCCTGCATATTTTGATGAGTCAAGATTTGAAGAATCAGATTTTGTTGTATCGCTTTTTTTTGGTTCGATTGTTTTTATTAAATTGTCGTTATCTTCTGTTGATATGCTGTCGATTGGTAGCTTCAAATAAACATTGAAAAGGGTACTGATAATCGAACTTATCAAAGTATTCTGCAATTCTTTCATTCAGTTCTGAAATACTTCTGAGAAATAAGATTGCAAAAATAATTCTAATCTACATCCGTACCTATAATGTTCATTAGGAGTATAACAGTGACAATGAGTGATTCCAACTAATAATGCTTCAAGAGAAAACTAATCATTACTCATAAGAGTCCCACTAATGACTAATGCATAGATAACTATTCATTTATAACTGGTAAACCTTGTCAATGAAAATAGGCGTTGTACAGAACCTTTCTCAATATCATTTTCTAAACCTTGAGGAAGCGAGTGTGGGTATCAATCTTCTCTAAATCCTCACCCACACCAACACTCATACCTTACCGCTTTCATCGAATCGCATATTGGCTCGATTTCGGTGAAGACACCTTGAATCTTGCTCCATTTCTTTGCCCATTCTTCATGCCACACTTTGTTTCCACAAAAAATGTAGATGGCCACTAACTGTTTCGTATCATGAATCAATGGCATTAGATCCTTGCCTAAAGAGCCAGAACAGACAATTACCATTTTCCCATTAGTCGTGTCATTGAGCAACTTGATGCATTCTGCTGTTTCTTTACAAGTTTGCACAGTCTTAAAGACTTTCCGCAATTTAGAAAGTGTATTTTGACAGTCTTTGTCTTGTTCATCAATGTTACCGTCGATCCAGATGAGTAGACAATTTTTGATCACAGATTCGGAGTTCGCTGTCGACATTGTGTCTACTAGTGGTTTGATAAATGAGGTGATATAATTCATCTAAAGTAATTTCAATGAGCCATATTCACAAATCGCTTTTTCGCCACAAGCGTGTGGGTGTGAGTATAGGTGTATCTAGGATGTGGGTGGGCAGATGTTGCTTAGGATTTAAAAAAACTAGAGATAGCTACACCTACCCATCTCCAGGTGGTCGCGTGATTCATAACCCGTATATTCTACATTTCTATTATCTAGAGATAGTTCGCATAACACATCTAGAACTATCTAAGAGCAGCATCGATAATTCTTTAAATAATGTCATTGGATAACAATCAAAGGCGATTTAAAAAAATAATTCAACTGAAAACGAGAAAGTGGAAAAGAGGATAGAACTAACTCTATGAGTTTCCAATTTCGCCGAGAAGCTCTTCAAAAGCAACCTCAACACTGTGTTTCCTACTTTTACAATGGATAGAGCCTTCACACTAGGGTATCCAACAGGATAAATAAGACAATCATATCAGTTCTTGATAGCCCTTCAATGAATAATATCATTGTCCTAATCGTGAGAAAGTTAAGAATTAGTACCGGAAACTCTTAATCCAATGTCTAGCAAACTAATAAGATGTGAAAGATGAGACGTAAGTTATTACTCAGTCGAAAATTTAACAAAACTTGATGTTTACGCATAAAAAGCATACGTTTAACTCATAAAAAATGCTTTCAAATCTGTTTGTATTAAAAAAAATCATTTTTTTGATGCAGTTAAATGCGCACTTGTATACATAAAGCCATCATTTTTTTTTCTTAACTGGCCAAGTAGGCAAAGAATGAAAAAATTGCAAAGTTTTCTTTTTCGACTCATTCTTTGCTGTTATTTAACATAACTGAGTGTCTGACTTAAAAATATGTGATAGCAATTACCACTGAAGACGGCTTTTTTCATTTCTATTCTAGAAAAAAATCTATCTTTTGAATTTTTAATGAAGCTGTTTGGGATTCTTTTAGAAACCATCTTAAGGGTATGGGTGTGAATGTAGTGTGCGTTTCGGTGTAGGTTGGAGGAAGCCAGTGTGATGGTGATTATCTACTCCTAGTCTACACAGCTGGAGCCTACCACTTTCCCTCCCCTGCACCCACACCCACCCTCAGTATTTTTCTACGCAACACAGGATGTCAAACGAAAAATGAAATATTAAGACAATGTTTAAATTTCTTTTCATTAGAAATAATCAAACAAAATATGTTTTCATCTATCGAAAATGATGCACGATCGAAAAAGATCTTTTTATTTGCTCTTAGTAATAAATCTTTACTTTTTCTTGCAACATTTATTTCTATAAAATTCAATAAAAACAAAAGGTCTCTTTATAATTTCAAACTCTAAATAACTTGTTGGAGTGATAGAAAAATCCTGCAATATCTGACTCAAAACTAAGGATTATGAGAACAACAAGCTTTTTTTTTCTATTCGCCTACATAATGACGTCAATGTAAAATACTTTTTTATTGAAATAATTGGTAAATACAAAAGAATATATTTATTTTCTTTTTTCAAAACTGATTTGTGAACAAACTTATACCAAATGTCACTTATCATCAGGTATTAATATAATAAATGTTCATGATATTCAAAATTTGAAGGAAGGATATGAAAACAAATCATTTCAAAATAGATTTAATGCTATTTTTAATAAAAAAAACAACATAGAAAGTCATAATTTGAAGAAGGAAGTGCAAAGTTTCTTGAAAAACACAAAATATTTTGTTATTTTGTATTTAACTGGAAAAGATAATATATCGCATTATATATATTTATTTGAAGCATAAAATCTCAAATATCAATTAAAAATAATTGTATTTTAATTTCCATCAACATTAAGAGAATATTAGATCGATGAAAAATTTGTCAAAGTCATATTTTAATCCTTTTTCATAGTGAATAAATTGCTCATTATATTTTATGGGTATTTCTCTTAGTTTCTGACGCTTTGATTTGAATTTTATGTAAAAAAGATATTCTGTATAATTCTCTATAAAATTGAATAAAAGGCGATCCTGCAAAAAAATCGATTAGAATGATTTGAAATCTGTTTCGTCGGGAGAACAGATATAATTAGTATTTTGAAGAATTGCATGAATTATGGTTTTTAGCAAAACAATCAAGCTAAAGCGTCACAGCTAAGAGAAATGTAGATAAAATACGAAAAAAATCATTTTTTTATAAAAAAAAAGAACTAAAAATGGTTTTCAACGAAATTGTTCGGGATGTATTACCCTTTTATGATTGATACTGTAAGTTTGTGTAGAACCGTAGGTTCAACGTTTATTGTAGAACAACAAGAACAAGAACGATAGAGAGAACAAGATGTAGAGAGAGAGAGAGAGAGAGCACGGATGAATACGACCCTATACGTGTGTGTGCGTATACATATATATAGGATCACGATAAGGAATGATCCCATACCTAGATGAAAGGAAAGGAAAGAACCATATATATATGATAGAAGAAAACAAGGAATGTTCCAACATGATCAGAGGGAATATACCATTACATCTACCACTAGATATATTGGATATTTCCTACAGATACAAATCGAATACAATTTTGTTTGAGGATGTAAGTGTGGATACTACCTGTATTACACAAACACCCATAGCCTGTGATGAAATGTCAGTAGAAATCGATTGTATTATTTTCAGATACAAAAGTTACTTTTTTGATGAGTGCATGTTCTTCAAAGAATTTTTCATCCGAATCTCACTCTACCTCATTATAAGGAAATTCTTCATCAAAACTTTCAGATTCAATATCCATTCCGATCATAACTATCGATCAAAGAAGTCAGCTAACATTATCTTCTGTATCGGTTTTTTCAACGACATGCCAACTATTTCACAATTTCGATCGTTTAAATACACAAAAGAATAGAGAGATAACAATATGGAAGAAAAAACTAGAAATTTTGTTCTTAAATCTCACATATACTACCTATGAACATGCAAATGATTCATTATGTAGCAATGCAAAGAAGAGAACGATGAATAATCAACAGAAAATTATGAAGACGTCATTAAATGTACTTTTTTTCAGAAGTAAAGTGTTCATGACAATGAACATCTGGAAAAGTTTTCCAAAAAATAACTGAATCTTGCTGAATATGTTACATACAAAATATTTCTAACAAATAAATATTTTATTCTTTTTCAATAGTTCTTATGCAGTATTTGACATCATTCTCTGACTTTCTCTTGTTTTATTTTTCTAAAAATATCATGATAAATATTGTATTGAAAACTAACTTTGCAAAAAAAGAAAATAAGATTAATATTTGTATTGACATAGGATGTTTCTTGTTGTTCCAAATGCTGCAATATTCTAAACTAATTATTTAAGATAAAACTTGTTTTTATTTAACTCATGCAAAATACTTTCTATTTAATCGAGAAGAAATAGAGAAACATATACCATTTTAAACTTATTTTTGTATTATCTCACATAAGAATATATCAAAATTTTATTTTAACATTGTTTCATTTCGATTAAAACTGATTAATTAATGAAATTAAACGATCAATGATCTTTGAAGAAAAACAGTTTTTTTTCTTGCTTTTAAATTGTCAAAGTATTCAAGTTCTGATAAAACAACAACAACTGTGAACATGAATAACACAGTTGGACCTGATGAAGTAATATATCAAATTAAAAGAAAATATTCTTATTCTCTTTTTCAATATTTTAGTCTGTCGTAGTTAATTCTAATACAACAGGTTTACAAAGATTGTATGTATAGATTATAAATTCAAATGAATTATAAAATTTCTTATTTTAGATATGAACATTTTCGAAAGCGAAAATTAGTTTGGATAGTATTTCTCGTTATTTTAATTGTTGTAATCATAGCTGTTGTAACAACGACTGTTTTGTTGAACAGAACGAAAAGAGAGAAAACATCAACAACGGAAATAACAACAATAACAACAACATCAGCAGCAACAACAACAACAACATCAGCAGCAACAACAGCAACAGCTACAACAACAACAGTAACAACAACAATAACAATAACAACAACAACAGCAACAACAACATCATCAACAACAACAACATCAACAACAACAACAACAAGCGGTATGATTTTTTTAAAACTAGTAGATTCTAGAATTTCGTCAGTACATCTCCTGAAGTTTTGCTAATTTCACTGTGAATCAGATATGGACTAAAAATCTTTTCTTAGTTACATTGATGTGTGTAAGTTATTATGTCGATCCCTATACTAAAAAATTGATGTTAGCTCTAACATACATATGTATTCGAATAATCATATAAAAAGAGTTTACTCTTCGATGATCGGTAGTCATACATCATATTTCTATAGAATAATATTGAAAGATTCATTGAAAGTTCATAATAAAACAAAATACGTTTTATTTTTGCGAAATAATGCTTCGATCGAAAGAAAAGAAAACAAAATTGAAATTTTTCTTAAATATTTTATAGAACAATTAGTTCCTTCTGTTATGATTGATAACAATACGAAATGGAAAAAGGATGCAGTTACTGTTGCTGGAGGACATGGACCGTTAGGTGGATTAAATCAATTAAATTATCCTGATGGTATTTATGTTGATAATGATGATCAAAGTATTTATATTGCTGATACTATCAACCATCGTATTGTCAGATGGGAATCTGGTGCAAACAATGGTATATTAGTTGCAGGTGGAAATGGACCAGGAAGTAGAATAGATCAATTGAATAAACCAACAGATGTAATTCTTGATAAAGAGAAGAAATATCTCATCATTTGTAATTTTGCTACAAAACAAGTAATGAAATGGTCTCTTTATAGTAGTAGTCATGAACATGCAGTGATGATACGTGATATTACTTGCTGGGGTTTAGCAATGGATAATAATGGAGATCTTTATGTTTCTGAATGGGAAAAACATCAAGTGAGACGTTTTTACGATGGCGATAGGCAAGGTACAGTTGTAGCGGCTGGGAATGGACAAGGAAGTCAATTAAATCAGCTCAATACACCTCACTATATCTTCGTCGATAAATATCATTCAGTTTATATAGCAGATTATAGAAATAATCGTGTGATGAAATGGAAGAAAGATGCAACCGAAGGTAGTCTTATTGCACCAGGGCAAGTTTCTGACAAAAATCCCAATTCACTAGTTCAACCCAAAAGTGTGATTGTTGATCATATGGGTAATATATATGTATCGAATGAGAATAGTCATCAAATAACACGTTGGTCTCTAGGTGCAACAGAGGGGACGCCTGTCATTGGTGAAAAACAATCGGGAAACGAGCGCACGCAACTCAAGATGCCGAACGACTTATCGTTTGATCAACAGGGTAATCTTTATGTTGTCGATAGAAACAATCATCGAATACAAAAATTTGCTATTGATCTTGACTGAAACAAGTTTTTTGACGATTAAATGACTTTTAATAAATAATTCTTTTTTTTCTAACTTGTAAAGTATTTTTTACTAACAAAAAATAAAGTTCATTAAAAGTAGAAATAATTTAATTTATCATTCATCTTGCAGACACAGCCATTTCAGATTCTTTTTTTTTAATGTCTATAATTCTTTTGTCAATCGACACAACACAAAGTTTCAATAAAAAGCTTTGAATACAATTTATATTTCTATGTAGTAAAAACGACTGAAACTATTGAGTTGAGAGTAAATGATAATATGGATTTGATCTTCGAGTTTTTTTTTGTCAATATTCACATCTACTTTCAAAAGCTTTAAAGTCATACATTAGTTTTATCTGTATAAGAACTATATTACAATTTCGATCAACATAATCTTAAAGTTTTCATGTTATTCATGTCATTTTTGTTAAAAATGTTACATTTATAGCTCACATGGCTAGGCCTGCTCCATAATATATAAATGATTGAAATGAGAGACAACAAAATCTTTCTATCATAAAGAGTATTCTTTTTAGGATGCGGATGAAATAGAAGACCGCCATTCACCTTTCGTTAAAATGATAACATCAAGTAATTAGAATATCATATTATCCATAATCGAAGATCAAGAAACACATTGACCATGTAAACCAGTATCGCCGATCTAGTCATATATATATGCAGGTACTCTTTGCAATGTAGCTTGTGAAAAAATATATATATTTATTGTTGGTAGTTGTAAAAATCTCTAAAATATGGGTACTTCTCGTTAAGTGGGCAACTGGTGCTTAGCCAATACGATTTATCTGGTATAACAAAATCTTCAATGTGGAGGTTTAAGTGTTCTATTCGTTTCAAATATGCTCATCTCATACTTTCAAGAAAGATGTATCAGATTATCACAGTAATATAAATATGTACCTTGAATACAAATAATTGTTTAAATAAATTATTTGATTTCTATTTATTTTATTTTTCATAGGTATATAATGCTTGTTTCTCTTATTTCCATTCATTTCTAGATATTTAACCAAGATTATTAACAAATAATAAAATCTTAACATGTTATTAATATTAAATTTAGTGATTATTCTTTATTTTCATTTTTATCTAAATTACATGAATTTTGTTGGTGCTGAAAGATAGTTGTTTTCCTATTTGATCAATTTGATGTTCTACTACTTATACCAATATCTTCTATTGATATAACAGCATGAAATTAATCAATATTTCCACTCTATGATCCAGTAAGAATTTACCTTTTAATAACAAATTTACAGATGAAACAGCAATTAATTCTGCATTATTAATTCAAAATCCATCAACAGTATTATTTTTTATATAATTAAAAATTAAATTCATCAAGTGAAATTTTGATGGATTCAGCAAAATCTTATTTCTCTCTACAATGAGTTTCATTTAGTTTACGATATATATTTGATATGAAATCAAAAATCACAATAAAATTTATTAATTAGAAATAATGATTATCTTTATAGTAACAAGCAAGATGAATACAGTGTAAGTGTGAGAATGGATACTATATTCCCTTAGCACCTACACCCAAAACTGTGTTGTTGATGGATACTAACAAAACAACATATCTAATTAATATTCTATCTTTATTTTGATCATGCTTTTTTTACTCTTCAAAGTTTACATTTCATCAAATTCATATGTAGGCATTCCACGACAACAATAATATATAATAAGTAGAACATCCTTAAAAAGTTATTCAGAAACACTCCTCCTGTAATAATCATTATAACAACAGTTTTTGTTCATTTACAATAAAACAGAATGATGACGTACATTCATTTTTTCCTTTAAAACTTTTCTTCTTCTTTTACTCCTATTCATAATATCAATCTAACTTGGAAACAACAACAACACAATATATAATTGCGTCGTTGTCGTATAATCAGCGTACTATCTCATATCATTGGTTTTATACATCAACTAAAAATATCGATAATGTTGAAGACCAATATTACTTCGTGGATATTTATACTGATTTTCTCACATTCTGTCACAGGTATGATTGATTTTAACGAGAAAAAGGCACTTGTTAATAGTAAATATAGTTTTTTTATTGATCTTCATCAAACAATTTCTCAAGCTAAGATCAAAAAAAAATTGAAACAGTTCTCTTATTATATCTATTTTATTATTGAAAGCGATTTTTGATCAGAATTACTGGATTTTAAAAAGCGTTTCAAAAATAGATGGAGTCATGCCTGATTTGTATGCATGACTTAGCATATAAGAATTTTTTTTTTCTGTAGCAGTTACTAATATCTTTAGTCAACGATGTTCATGAAAATAAATAGTTTGATAAGGAGAAGAATGAGAAAAAAGATATAGATATCTTTCTGTCATTACGCAGAAGAAAAAAGTAAAGTAGAGTAAGTCATGCATTGTTTTCAGAAAAAAAGTGCATTTGTCAGGCATTTCAGTAAAAAGTTTAAATAATAGTACAAAATTATTGATGCATTATATTTATATTAGTATTCTCCGCACTCGAGAATATAATTAAAGTTACTCATTACTGGTTGCAATATTAGAAATAAAATTAAAAAATATCAATTATCAACCAGTTGCTTTCTTTTTAATTGGAAAAAAAAATCATTCTACGGAATTGATATCAACATGTTTGATTAATCCGTGCTTATGTAGGAAAAAGCTTGATGAATATTTTTGAAGAATCTCTGAAGAGGATAATATAGAGATGTGTGATTTTCATTGTTGGAAAGAAGGAGTAGCAAAGCATTGAATCATATATGAAAAAATTCTTCTCACTATTTCTAAAAGTTTTTCAACGAATTGCTTTTTCTTATATTGGACGATAACTTATGGTTTAATGACTAGGATATTTTGTTAGTAGTAGACAGGAACAGAATTTTTACACAGTTTTATATTTCTTCGATTGATAGTTCTGACGCATTCTTCAAAATAAATATGTCAAAGTTATGATTATTGATGAAAAACAGTTTTGCTAGAAACTATATAAAGCTCTAGCAGATATAGTTAGAAAAATCGTTCTGTAAATAGTGTAACGTATTAACATATCATCTTCACAATTATGAAACTCGCAGCTTTCTATATCACTTAGCTTTTATGATCCGCATTTTCAGGATTTGTAAAAATAGAAACTGATTCCACAGTTGGTTTAAATCTACTAGGAGAGGACTTGTACTATTGTAAAGATACAGCTAGAATATAAGAAAAGGCTCGGAAAATGTATATTAAGCCTGAATAATACTAACTAAAGCGTGCGTAGAAAGTTCCAACACCTCTTATTAAATCCATTGTACTTATGAGAAACTTATATATAGTTAATTAATTGAACTATACAATTTTGTAGAGAAAGAGTAGAGCTGTTATCTGAAAAGCAGATACTTCGAAATGCTCAAGTATAACAGAATAATTATATAGCAAGATTTTAGTGAAAAAAAATGTGTGAAAATGATCGTCAGTATTCTATAAAGACTAGTGGAAATCATTCGAAAACAAAGTCAACGCGCATCACACAACATCTACATGATAAACCATTTAGGGTATTTTTACGGAGAAGCATCTTCTTATTTATTTTTCTCAAAAAAATATAAGATCAAAATATCTGGTCAACATGAATAAAATGACCATAATATTATCGTACACTTGAGCATTTTAAAGTATATCTTTTTTAGATGATAGCTCTACTCTTGCTTTATAAAACTACACAGTACGAGATAATTAACTAGATATAAGTTTCTCATAAATACTATCGATTCACAGATAAGAGTCAACACTATCTAATCATAGGCTGCATCAATGACTTGTATTCTATTCGTGTGTATAACATGGATGACACATCATATGCTTTTATCAACCAAAAATATGTTATAAGTCAAAGTAATGGCGCAGATTCTGGCATCATCGATGTCACTGCTTATATAAGAAATGGTTTAAATAAATTTACTTTCATAACGTACAATGGATATGATG